CCCCTGTTACATAATGGTTCTTTCCGGATATGATTTGGTTCCCAGCTCTGTGAAAGTTCATTAAATAGTCAACATTCCACTTCGTTAATATTTACACTTGGTCAGCTGTAACGCGCATACGTGATTGGACACGTTCTGAATAGGAGGTCTTTATTGTCTTTCCTGAATTTTGATTGGATAGTGATTGCCAACGGGCAAATGCACATACATGTACAATCGGTATAAAACGAAAGAACACCAGTATTACGTATTTTAAGTCTTACCGCTTATACCACATGGCAGATTTTGCACAACTGTGGGAAGACATTGTGGGAAGGGAAAAGGGGCAGTGTTTGCCCCATTTTCATTCCCATGATGCCTTTATACTATTGTGTAAAATCACTCCTGCAGATTAGCAATAAGGGCTTATGGGGATAGTGGGGTCGAACACAGTTGTTAGGCAATTTTATGTCATCCCAGTTCTGCATATTTCCCAGTTCCGTATTACTTGAAAAGAACACTACACGTACTCTTTGGGTAAAGAATTTGGGGATGCCATTAATTTTTCCCCACAGTCGTGTTTCAGCCATCTGCAAGCAGTAACATTCCTAAAGAGTCAGTGTTAGCAGTGAAAATATTGAGATATTCACTAAGAAAACAAATGTTCGACACCAGTCTCGCACGGTTTGTGTACAGGGTGTCAAGCAGCGTATTTGGGATTTTTCTCCTTTATGTATTGTCCGATATGACATTTTAGAAGAGGGTTGGTTTGAGAGGTAAAATTATGTTTAAATTCGTGATATACAAATTTCGTTTTCAAAAAATTTCTAAAAAACAAATTTTGGCCACATTTCTGACTCGCACTTTGATATATTTGGACAGTTTGTCAAATGTTAAGGAAGCCAGCAAAATTTACTCAAAATTACAGAGTGGAACGTCATTCATTGCATGTGATTCCAAGTATTTTTCCATGCGCAACTGTCATGTAAACTCTTGCATCGAATGTCTGTCATATCAAACTGACTTCCAGATTCAATTTTTAAAAATTTGCCAAAAGCAGCATGAACTAGGACACAACTCTCTGTGACATCTGGAAGCTTTGTGACCTTTTGTGGTGAAAATGAGAAAGTCTTTGGTGTCTTTACCTCATTGTGACCTCCGGTTGTGAAAGCACCTTCGCTTATCACCCAGCACCCAAACAGGGCGCTGGGAAGGGCTGATGGCCTTGCACAGATTTTATTGAAGGAAATACATGTACGTCACATGGGTTCACAGCTAATGACGTGCAGAGCATTGTGGGTAAATTCTAGGTGTGTGAAATCGCTCAATGCATTACAAAGCAGCAGTTATCAATTTGATATTTTTTTCCTTTTCTACCTCATTGCTGAAAAGATTCTCACTTTGCTTTATCCGTTCATCCAAAATTGATCAAGATAACCATTGATCGAAATATATCGCCAAAAGCCACTTGGTCGGGGATACTTATTTATTTCTTCTTTACCCTGGGGAGACCTATCAGTGTCAAAGCACTGTTTTCCATAGGTGTCCAGCAATAACAATCAATAAAAGTTCATCAATATTGGTTAAAAATTATTCGCCAAAAATTAAAAGTCCAATAATACACATTACTAAAACCAAAATACAAAAATATGACGCACATGCATGCATGTAATAAAAAACAACAGAGAAGATAGAAGATAAATTACCACACTGTGATTACATGTATACCAAGGCCATGTTTTCATCATGTAGCCGACACTTTGCCCGTCCTGAGGCATTACCACTGGCGAATCAAAAAATTCCAATAATGCTTCCCTAACAGGGAGTGAAAACCTCATGGTCACAGGTTGTGCCCAATGTAGCCAATCTGAATTATAGTTCAAAATCATCACCCAACATATTCACTGCATGTACATGAATATTGCGTAACCAATCAGCATATACATGTAACATGTAAATTGGAAATGCTGGGGTACATCCACTCAACATGTCATACTGGTGTGTACAGTCACTTGCAAAAGTTTAAGACCACCTTGAATTTTATTGGTATTTCTGTCACTGGGCCTGCGTTACACTGTCTTACTGAATGATTACTTAACATGATTTTACAGTGGTGCATAACATCAGTGTAGTGCTATATGCCCATTTGAATAAAATTTTTTGCAAAGGCTGGTCTTGTATGACATTTTGTCTACAAGGCAGCATGGGTAAAAAAAAGCCAGTCTAAGCAATTAGAAACAAGGGAGGGTACACTGAATATTAGACTGTTATCATGTCAAATCATGGAAATGTTGTCAAAATGTTCAACCAAGGTTACACATTGAAAATAAACATAAGTTGCCATGATTGATGTGTTTAAGTTTGGTTTTCTTTCAGGTTAATGCATTTTCTATGGGTGATGCTAAACTTTTGCAAATGACTGTATATGCACATGTAGTCCGGTTTTACCCATAGAACTATGGAATTCATCATGCGCTCTGCTGTCCACTGAGTGGAGTGCACGAAGAACCCCATAGTCCCAGGGATAGTCATCTTTCCTGTGGATTTTCTCCTTGTTTCTACTAGCGCTTGGTGTCTGAACATAATCAATAAATTTCTTAATTTTGTAGTTTCTACCACAATTCAAGTTTTATCTCCCCTTGCAGATGGACGAGTTACAAGAATGTGGGGAGACCCATTGTTGGAACCAGGCTCTTAGCATTTAAAGTACCTTTGACAGAGGTAGGTTTAGACGGGTGGAATGTCTATTTCTAATCTTAACAATTGAAATGCACAAACTGAACCAAACACGGGGTATTGTTTTGGGTCAAAACATTTTGAATGACTTTTGAACCAGCTCAGTTTGTTTGTGTTGTGGTTAAAATTGCATTTTTTGTGTTGCAGGCATCATGCGAACGTCTGCGTCCACATGTCAGGTGAGTGCACTAGTGTGTAAATTTCAAACAAAAACGTGAAAAGAGCAGAGTATATGTTCAGTTTATTTGGCATTTTGATATTGTATCAAATATTGTAATACATGAAGGTAAAGAATCTAGAAAGACATTGTGAGATCTTCTTAGAAAGACATCTTTGCATTTAATTTTGCATGAAGAAACTGATGAAACAAAAATGTACCGGTAGCACTGATACTAGTTGGTGCCTTGACAGCTATGCTTGCTTTATTATTCAAGTTCCAATACTGCAGTTTGAGATGAAAACTGTCCATGTGTTATTTCTAGATTTACCCCAGCAGACTTGCTAAGGAGTATGAGAGATTCTGCACTTCATCTTGGTCTGGTAATTGATCTTACCAATACGACTCGTTACTACAATCCACAGGTAAGAGACATTCCCATGTTCCTCGGATCCTGATTAATACAATCAGTTATAGGGGACTGGAGTTTAACTTTCAAGATAGGAGCATGATTAATTTATTTTGTACCTTTTTGTCATCTTTGGAATTATAATGAACTGAAACATTTTAGATTAAGCACAAGGGGCTACTCTGATTGGTAATGCTTGTTTTGACTCCTGTACATGTAGCTTGTTTTTAAAGATTTTTTACAGAGCAGTAAGGTGTTACTCTAATTGATATTAAAAATGATTTTTATATACATGTAGCATGGATTCTACTCACTTTAAAGATGAAACATAGATGTTTGATAAAATTTCTTACCTCTTTAATGTTTCACCTATTCACACTGGATTAGTTTTGGTCCAAAATAAGATTTGTTAAAAAAACAAAATATATTGGCCATGCCTTAAGATAATGTAAAACGGGTCATGCCGTGTCAAATCATACAAAATCCAGGCACTTCCCTGACCTCAGTATCATGTACATAGTACACTTTGCCTGGTTTATTAAGTCATCTATATGGCTGTAGCATGGAATTTTTTTTCCCCCAACTGCGTAGTGAGCTACGTGCACACAGACTCTCGACAGAATTAGAATCGATTAAATTTTCTCATATTCAGGCACCAGCACGTGATTTACGCAGCGGGCATTGTCACTTGTCAGTTAGCATTATCAAATGTTAATACATGGACAAGTTGCACGTTGTTGAACAGGGAGGCTGTCTGATGTATAAAGGAATAATGTGTAAATCACCGCTGTTTCGACCGATGTATTAAGCAAAATACGGTTGTACGCATATCCCACTTTTGCAGCCAGGTCAAACAAAATACGTAATTTATGAGGAATGACCTGGCGAAGAAGGGCCTCAAAAATCTGGGATTTTTTCATCAATATTCCCATTTGGGGTGGTTACATTTGCAGAAGTTCATTCAGAAGACATTTCATAATGTAATGGATCTTCGAAACAGAAAAATATAGGTATGACGGGCAAAACTTGAACTCCTATGAACAATTAGAATTTCGTCAGTCACTGTCGAGGGCTTGTTTTCAGGACAAATATCATGGTTACAATAAGTTTTCACAAACGTCATGTAAAAGAGCAAGTTATGATCTCTTTATATCATATATTTTCATAATGACAAACCTCACAAGAGAGGAAAAACATGTACTTGAATAATTAATTTTTGTAACCCTGAGCCAGCCAGTATTGTGCCAGCTTAAGGGACCGACTCAGTTATTCATTGGCTCATTTGGCCAAACACGATTCTAGACCACAGCTCTCAAGGGGTAAACGTAATGAATTAAAATATACCCTCTAAGTAATTGATAACTCCCAAAAGAAACTTAATCCTTAATTGAAATAATTTATTCTTACATGGAGCATTACATCACAAGGTGATCTCAGTGCACTTTACAGGATAAAACCAAATCTAAAGATAAATATAGCCCATTAAAACACCAATACGAGAACTTAAAATATACATTCATAGGCAAACTACACGTACATTAAGATCTAGATCACTTAGAGAATTGACTTAAAAACCTGACAAATTTGACTGACAAAAGACTGGGTGCATTTCTGATAAAATTCGGGAGTCTCTTCCAAAGGATGGGCCAGGTATCGAGAAGGCATGCCTGCCATTGTGATCCAAGTAAAATCGTGGCTGAACCAAGTGTGCAGGCATGGCATACATAGTATGGACCTCTGCACAAAAGAAATTCACATAGGTTAGGGTACTATGGCATTTTGTGGACTTGCACATGTCCACACATTGTTGTCCCCTCTCTGAAAACCAGTTTCAGAGGCATTTTGGGGTCAGGGTTATCAGTGGCAAAATGAACAGGAACCATCCAGAAAATCATCAAAAATCCATCTCCAAGGAGTTATCTCAGTTGGAGAAAAAGGAACACTTTTCTCAAGTTTCCTTAACCACAGGAAAACAAAGGTATGTCCAACTTGGCATGTAAAGCAGTTAAAACAAGTATGTGTGCGTTTTACAGGATGAACTCTCAAATTGTGAATAAATCTGACAGATGACTTTCCTATTTTAAACTTTATAAACAAAAATAAGAATTTTGAATTAATACGTTGTGCTGCAGGGATCCAGTGAAGACTCTTTAGAACAGGTGTAATATCTTGATATTTCTTTGTAATTTTGAAGTAATTGTAACCTCTGATTTAAATAATCAGGAATGCTGTAGAGAAGGCTGTTACAGTAATCCAACTTGAACATAAAAAGGCATGGATGGATAAGTCATTCAGTGGTGGCACAATCCAGCACTTTTTGGATTTTACTTACACAATGCAAATCCAAGTATCCTGATGGACACATTGTGGAGACATGAATGACCATATCACAATAATTGTCAAAGTACACACCAAGATTCTTTACAATTTTAGCAGGAACAATTTCACTGAAGCCCACAAGCAAACCTATTAAAGGATCACATTTGTGAAACATAGCGTAAAAAAGAATCACCTCAGACTTTGCCCCATTAAGAACTAGCTTGTTCAAAACCATTCAGTGTCTCAATTCTTGAACACATAATTCAAGATACATCCTAGAACTACATGTATTAACATTCTCAGCATATAACATAAAGTTAATATTGTGCTTCTTGAAAATGTCATCTAACGGTGAAAGGTAGAGCGTAAAATGAATAGGCCCAATTACACTTCCCTGTGGTACACCAAATAACAAACCGGTCAATTTTGATTTTGCAGACACAATACAAACCTGCTGAGTTTGACCAACTACATGTAGATAAGGATTTAACCATTGGAGCGCTAGGTTATTTATACCATACCTCCCCTCTAACCTTTGAAATAAAATGGAATGGTCAGTAGTATCAAAAGCGGTGTTTAGATCAAGTATGACTAAACAGACTACTTTCTGATTGTCCAAAGCAATCAAAATATGGTACATGTAGGTTCCTCAAAGTATAGACCATTAGATAATGTTCAACTTTGGGGGTTCATTTTTTCTGAAGTGAACAGCAGTGAATTAATTCCCAATGTCTGACGAAATGAAGAAAATCATGGCTGATATCTGGAACAATAATGACCGTGTCCATCTTTCAACTTATTTGAAGTGAATTGAAGTCTTGAATGTCAGCATTTTTGACGGATGTGAACAACCTGTTGAAATCCTACCAATAAAATTTATCAAGGAGTGATAATCCCTACGGTCATTTTACACAGATTTATATGTGGTGAAAGGTGATAATATTTACACACATTAAAACCATAATCACGACATTGAAAAATACCTCTGACAATTAATCGGGCCCCGAAGTTGGTACTCGGCAATGCCATTTGATTCTGTCAAAAAATTGGCTGCAAAAAACAGCGACTAAAATCAACATTGATGTAGAACACAAGCTTTAAAAAAGGGCAAAAAAGCACCCCAAACCATCATCCTTTTATGACTGGATGGATCACGTTTTCTTCAAGTACGTTTCCGAAAACCACAGTTCAAAATACGGATTGTAGCGATTTTTGCGGCTTCCGTCATGATCTCGCGGTGACGTTTTGCTGAAAAATCTGTCTGTTCACCTGAAAAGGATTAGCTGCCCAAATCTGTTCCAAACAACGGGTTTCTTGACTACTCTGGATGATGTCGTTGCAGAACCTGGGTGCTCTGGGCTTGACTACAAACGATTTTCAGGAAAGCAATTTCAGAAGCAAGACTATCAACAACTGATTTCATTGTTGAATTATAATTCCGAACCAGTAGATTCACAGAGTCAGTGTCAGAGATGGATATTGGATTTGTAATAAGGCATTGGGTTAGTGAGTCAACCGAAATCGATAACATTTTCCGACTGGTCCACATCACTCGTAATAACTGTGGTTTTATCATGCCTGATTTAAAGGGAATCAGACTGTGATCAGATGGCAAGGTGTTTTCAAATTTGATATCCAAAACACAGTTATCAGTAGAACAAGTTATTACCAGGTCTGACATATGTCACTTCTCATGAGTGAGGAAATTAACATGTTGAATTAGACCAAAGGAAGTAATAAGTTCACAGAATAGAGTTACATCCGTTCTTGTTCAATCCTCCATGTGGAAGTTGAAATCCCCTGGGATAATAAGGAGACCCAGCCTAATGACAGCTACTTCTGATAAAGATCCAAACTCTTGAAGAATTTGTTGACAGTAGTTTTCTTCTTGACAGATGTTGGAGGACAATAAACTACAATCACATAGATGAGATCAGATGATTTTTTATACTGACATCCATTACCTCAAAAGAGATATCCACGTACATGTACGATGGAATATGATTTCTCGCAGTAGCAGAACAATCTGTAATGTCCATTGCTACAGCATGTAGAACGTATGGCACGATGGCGTAGCATGCCTAATTTGTATTACATACAACAATTTTAGGTTTGTCAACACACCCTCAACAGCGATAAAGAGCCAAAGGACCATTCTTCACCCTGACACTGGGCATTTCCTCGGGAAAACTTACTGTCTATCAGTTTGTGGCCCATAAAAAGCACCTTAACATCGATCACAAAGCCTATGAAATGAAAAATATCCTCCACCTCTTCGGTAGGCCACTCACACAACAGGACATGTTAACATGGTCAAATCAACAACTGTTTAAGTGCCACTGCCACATCAAACGTAAACGGAGAAGTAACTCTGAATATTCATGTCCCTTCTCTTATTTGTATACATTATTTGTAAAAACCATCCCCTTTTCTAAGCATTTAATTGTCCAGTCCATCAACATTGGGCAGGCTCCATGAAGAAATGTCCCACATGTGCACAACCGTACTTCGTTTTGGAAACAGCGGTGAAATGGGCTTTCAGTGTTTGATTCCAGTCCAATAAATGCTGAGCTATCTGGCAACTTTGTATTGTAACATGTCCCATATCATGGTGTATTTTCCATGCAGAGTCCACATTGCAGGCATGTGGGAGTGTTCAGTGTTCACTGCCCAAACTCACTGGTTTTGGTCACTGAAAATATGCATAATCTTTAATATTTCCTATTTCAAGGAATTCACAAAAGCTGGCATTGAATACCATAAACTTCATACTCGAGGACATGTTATACCACACAAGAACATTGTTCAAAGGTAAGATTGCACTATATACATGTATTTTGTACATGCAAATATTGGCCTCGAGTTGGAGACAAATTATGTGTAATTACTCTAAATGGACTTTATGTTATGTTAGATAGTTTAGTTTTTATAGGTGCAAAATTAAATGTTTAAAGGTGCAAAATGTAAACTCTTCTACCTGTACGTACTAGTCAGTCTGTGGCTTAAATGCAGTGACCGAGTGCAGTTAAACCACAGCGACCTTTTGGACAAGCTCCCTAACCTGTGTTGAGCAACATTTTACATATATGTACATGTAGTAAGGATGAAAGAAAACCTGTGGTGTACTAGATGCGTACTACATGGATACCATATATGTAGTGAATACGTACAAAATGTTTTTTATGGCCACCATTACACACACATGTACAGATTATTGTGTAAATGTCAATTGAATATGATTTCATTCATCAATTTTCTTTGGCGATTTTCTCGGTTTTTGGAATGATTCAGATGCACTATCTACGGTACCTGACATGCAAAGTACTTTCTTCTCTACAGCTTTAACACAGTTGTCCAAGACTTTCTTAGTCAACATTCAGATGATGGTGAGTTTTTAACATTCTTCAAGTTTGACTACGTTTGACATTTTCTTTTCAATATACATATACAATATACAAATTGTACATGTAGCTTCATATGTGATGCTCTTAAGACTGAATGTACAGTTTTGGCTTGGAAAAGAAACTGAAGGATTTTTCTTTATCTTCATCAAGATGCACACATGTACATTTATCAATATGTCCAATTGATTTTAACCAAGGAAGTTTTAGGTTTCATTTATATTAGTAAAATAAAAATATATATAAATTAAAAATATGGGTCCATTATAAAATCTTTAAAAAAGTTAAATGCTGAATATTACTTTAATAACTGTTATAATTAGTATTATTGTATTTATTGGAATGTCTCATAGTCCTTTTTGTTATGTACATGTAATATATTGTCTTGGCTTTTATTGTTTGTGAAGATAACCGTTTCAATAGTAATTTATTTTGCTTTTGGGCAATCCATGGGCTTGCCTTTTGGTCGGTTTCAGATGTTTTCATACCTGCCAACCATTACGATTATTACGATTTTTCAGTGCAGATTTGGAATTACGAGTATTAGTCACAAATTACGAAATTTCAAAGTTTTCTTCATATTTTTTTTAAATGGCTGGAGCAGAGGATAAACTGCTCAAGTATGTGATGGAAAAAGTAGTCCAGTTGCCAGACTACAGCACATACATGTATGGCTGTTTGACTGGTATATGTTTAACTGTGCCCTTTTAAAATTCTACAGTTTTCATTTCCGACTAATCTTATTTTTGGCTCCCGACCTTGAGAAAAAAACTTTTTTTTACCAACCCTGCTGAGAGGACCTTGCATATAAAAAAACAATAGGTTGTGATGACCTGTACAAAACAGCACTGAGCATACATATGCTATACTATATTGCCCAAATATCAATGCAGCAACAGTCGAAATCCATGTTACGTCATCACTTCCAGACTGAGTGGTACCGTGCCACTATGTGTACGGAGTACCATTGGAAAAGTAAATGTACATGCACCAAGTACATACACACTGCACACATGACCATTGTACAGTGCCTGGAGTTGAGACTGACTTTAACACAGTATTGTGTTCTGTACTAATCACGAATGTGTGAACTGCTCACTTTAAGTTTGTGCACATGAGTACTGAATCTCACTTAAGCCAGAAGCCAGCAAAATGGCTTTCGACTCAGGCAGGTCAACCCCAAAAGTAATCGATGAACATCACGCTCAGATATAGTTGTTTCCCCCTCATTTCCATACCAATTAGAATGTTAACAAAAGTCCCTTTTGCTAACTTGCACACGATAAAAATCCATTTTCTGCCCAAATTTTTGCCCGTCCTAATCACGGTCTTCCAAAGTACCCGAGTCAGAAGTCGGAAGGGAAGCTAACATTTTATTTTTCCCTGACATGTCTCTACTTGTGAATGGTGAGAAAAATCATGAACACTCTAATGAGTAAGTACATGCATCATGCAAGAAGGACACTGTATGAATGAGAACGGAAAATTTAAGTTTGTGCCTTTTAATGGGGCAATTTGATGTCATTGTATGTATTAGTGCAATACAAGTAAAAGTAGAAAATAAACCGCACTTAAAGAAATAAACTGACATACCTGTACACAAATGATTCATCAGTCCTCCAAACAGAATCATGGATGTGCTGAGGGAAATTGGACAACAGTGTGAAAATTGGGCACTAAGTAAGGTGAAAAACACGAAAAATTATGAAAATGGTTCCCAGTGAAAAACAAAGTGAATTTCAAAGAAAAGGTTTTCTTTGTAGAAGTAATAAACTTTTTTGATCATAAGAGTTACTATTTTTTCATGTGGCATCAAAGTTATTTGACGGTAAACTGGGCCAAATTGTGAAAGTTAGGTACAAACTTACAGGTACATGTAGCTAAAAGTGTTTTAACTTTTTTCATAATTACCCTTTGTCATAAAATGTACACTTTTTACTTCTATGATATTTTTTCTGGAGGTCTGTCTTACATAGAAGCCATTACATATCACCACTTGATAGATAATTGGCAATTTATTCACACATGAAGTTAGTGAGGGAAATGGCAGTACAAATACCTCACATAGGTCATCACCGATATGCCTCGTCTGCTGGAATAGGTTTTCAGGCCGATGACCAGATGTCACTTTTGCGCATGCTGGAATACACAAACTAAATGCACGCACAGTCTGTGGGAACCAAACATACATGTGTGTGCACTAAGAATATTTCTCTGTACTCTGCTAGAAACAAAGACAACTCATGGTACTCAGTATAAAAACAGTTGACGGTTATACATAGTGCACTTTGCATGGTTTATTCAGTCATTATGGCAGCAGCATAGATTTTTTTAAAGGAAATTTTTGTTCGACCGACTGACCGACCTTCCCTCAAGTCAAAATAGATACGAGAACCATAGAATATAAAAAAGGAGCCCTAATACGCTGGTATTTATAGTGCAGCATACAAAGACGTAAAGTGGTTACGGGCAGCAGCTAAGTGGGTAATTGTGATGCTGTGTAGTGCACCGTGCATGCAGCCTGCATGTTATGCAGGCTGGCGAATAATTCAACATGTCAAATCTGCTTATGGGCGGCAGTTTAGGAGATACGGAGTCAACAGAGATAAAACGACCACTTGGCTTAAATCTATTTCTGAGAAAGAAATGGACATATGCATCATAAGATGAAATATATGTCTGACAATAATAAAAAGAATTTAAGTAATTCACATATTTCAATTGCACCAGTGTGATTTTGAAAGAAATATGAAAAAGATTTTTTAAAATGACCATCACAGGTTGGCCTTAATCACTTGAAATTATTTGTACGAGTTTCTATTATGAGTGGACCACTGCATTTCTAGAATCCCAATAATAACTTTGATGTAAGGGGTACATGTACATGTAGTATGGCATTAATGATTTTGTTTTACATATAGGCTTAAGTTTCTTCCATAAGTAGTAGTACCAATGAAAGAGATGACACAAGATAAGTTAATTATATAGCAACAGTAACAGTTGCTAAAAATGAGCCAGTTCAATGTTTCAAAAAGGCAAGGTCTTTCAGGAACAAAGTGTGCATGTGAGTTGGCATATGGCTGGGTGTATGTTGGCCTGGAGCAGACAATCATACATGCGTGCTACTATTCCTGAATGACCTGGGCTGTGCTTCAGTTTAGGCATGCACTGTTGGAATACCAAATTGGCTTCCTGGGTAGAAAATGACATCAAGCCCTTGCAATAAGACAATCTGCCTGTTTACTGGTACCAGTAGGTTCCAAATTTTGGCTGGTGGGTTTGTGCATGAACTTAGTATTTGTGAAGCTTCCAATTGATACTTCAACTCATGTGACCATCAAGTACATACTGTAAATATATTCATCCACATGGAACCAGCCGGTTCAGTTGGCCATCAAAGGATGATATTCTCAAAGCTCAATGCTGTGAGATCATCTCATTCCTCTGTGAACGACAGATCATCATTCCCACAACAATACGTCACTCGGAAATGAATCAGGACACGACAACCACTATGATCAAATTCAATGAAAAGCAAAAGACTATGTATTGAAAAATATGTATGTAACAACCTCGACTCCTTAACTTGACGCGAGATGTTTTTAATAGTGCTGAATTTTGAGTCTTAGTAACCGAACTCGAAGCAATCGTCCTGGCCCAAGTGCACGGACAATTCAGACTTAAAAGAAGTCTTTGTTTACAAACAGAAGTTGGTTAAGAAAACAAGTTTCTTTTATTCTCAAAACTTCGCCTCATGCAAAGCTCCTCACAGTCAAACAGGGAGTTGGTGAGGAAAAGCCTCCTGTTTGCTAACAAGTATTTCACCGCAGCAAAATACTTCACAATCAAGTATTTTCTCAATATGAAAACACTTCACAGGCTCAAAGCAACAAAACTGGTCTCATCAGACTTTAGCTCTCTGCTCGCAAAGTTCCAACTTGATTACTCGACACACTTTCAGGGTTTTTATACTCTACAAATCTACTACATGTATATTAACATAGTTACTGAATATAAGTCACAAGTAAATTATGCAGTAAAGTTACATCACCCTGCTCTAAATTGACGACTAATTCCATTGACCAATCAAAATAAACCAAATGATGTAAACCCATGACTTATATTAATTTCTTAATAAAGTTCCACCCCTTCATTTCAAAGAAATATTATTCCATGAAACAAGGAAAGTTGTGGGTGCACTGGGCTCTGCCCCCACATTCCAAGCAGCTTACCAAGTTTTATCAATTGGTCAACTGGCCTTGGTGAACATCTGGTGTTTGACTCATTGACCACTACACTTTTCTGAAAACCTCTTCACGAAATCTCAACATTATTAGGATGTATCAGTATTTACAATGTACATGTACAGGTGTAGCATTTTTATTCTTAAAACTTAGCAGCAATAGGCCAGAAAGATAGTGTGTCCAATAACATGGATTATGCTTTAGGTAAAAGTATGACTCACTTTATTTTTATAATGCCTAATTTACTTTGTTCATAGACTTCAATTTTGGCAGTTTTTATACGTGTATTGTGTACCACAATGTTTATGATCCACTTCCATGTGCCTACATTACATGTACCATTATTTCAATATAGTTATAACTACCGGTAACTAATTAACAAATTTATTTGATGCTTAATTTAGTGCGTTCAGTAATTAAATCAATAGAAAATGTCAGGAAAACCTGTGGAGAAGCCGTATTTTTGAAAAAACTGGAGGTGGGTGTTTTTACCCCGAGACAGAGGAAAAAAATGCTCATAGATATCATTTATGTATTATATTTACATGCAAAAGAGGAGACATATATTGCATAAAGCCTCATTTTAAATTCGTAGCATCTCCACATGGTGTGGAGATATTAAACTAATACTGAAAAATAGGGCGTTTCACCCCACTTAACCCTGTGTATTGATTTTATTTCAAACTAAAAAACAATGTTGTCACTTCAAATATGCATACATTGTTACCCAAATTCTCCCAAGTCATTTTATCTCATCATTTTGCAAAATTCTGCTCAAATTTTGTCCTTATTTGTAAAGTACCAGTAGCCTATATAAGGACATGTGGACAGGTCACTGGATGAGACACTGCTGCCCTCAAAATAAATTTGGCGTCCAGTGATTGGCATCTGTCTAACATGAGACTAGGCACATTTAGGGTTAAAGTGGCTTTCTGCTCTGAAATTTCCAATGCAATACCTGACTGCCATAACATGTACATGTATGAAAGCACATGGGCATCCAAGTGTTGTCCGTGTATGGAACTCTTTCCCCAAAATAGTCTCAGATTGCACCAGAGAGCATGTACAACTCCGGAGCTTCCAGGGGCCTTATTAAGTGGGCCCTAAACCCCAGCCGAAATGGACTTCATGCTGCTCGCTCCTGATGTGCACTCTGCGCACGTGAAAATGGGGCGCCTCTTTGTTTTTAGGTTCTGTATTTTTGTTCTGTGTTCGCAAGTATGCGTTTTCTTAATTTGTAGTCTTCGTAATTTTCCCAGAAATTTATATATAAATAAATAGATACACATTTATGCTATACAGATTTACATGTATGTACATGTATGTTTATATACAGACATGTACAGCTTAGGCAATAAAATAATTATACTTGGGAAAATTATGGAAATTGAAATTAAGAAAGAAAAAAAAAGTGTCTGTGGCACAAGTGCAGTACGAGTAGTGTAATGAGGTACACAGTAACAGGTACCCTGAAAGCAGTGTTGTAACTACATTTACATGTACATGTGATTTATTTTTCCCTAGTCAAGTCTCAACTCAAATTTTCCCAAGTCAAATCGAGTCTTAAGTCAAAATTTCCCGAGTCAAGTCTCAAGCCAATTCCTCCCAAGTCAAGTCTAGTTTTCCCAGTCAATTGTTGGTCACTGTCTGAGGGGTAGTAGTTTTTCCGGCCGTTTCAGAAAGTTTCTTCCTTTTTGCTTTCAGATCACGTACATACATGTATATGAAGTACAAAGAATAATTGCTGCACTGAACTATGAATGATATATTGTCTAAGAATACGCATGCTTTAAGATGAGAGCGTGTGGCCCACCCATGGACAGTCAGGCAGCTTGCTTTCGCGCTCGCTAGCCTACATTGAAAGGATTTGTGTTGAGTGGGCATTCTTTTCAACAGATTATGTGCAAACAACCAAAGGTTTTATTATGTTCAAGGAACGTTTGTCACAAAATCAAATTTAGTCCAGTCAAGGTGCAAGTCATATTCTTTCAAGTCAAATCCCAAGTCATTTTTTTTCCAAGTCAAGTCTCAAGTAAAAACATTGTGACTTGAGTCTGAGCCAGTGACTTGAGTCAACAACACTGCCGTACAGTGTTGTTTATTTTATTCTCTTGCTGTTATTTTCTATGAATGAACACTACATGCTGTAAACAAAATATTATATAGCATATAACACCCCTGTCCATTCTATTTTATAGTTGTCCAAAGAATCTCGTTATATGGCCTTGGCACGTGCATGGTAAACCGCATGCACACGGACTCTTGACCAATCAGAATCGATTAAACTGGCTTGTATCCAGGCACCAGAGGGCATTATCATTTCTCAGCAGGCGTTATCAAATGTTAACACACAGTCCAGTTGCACGTTGTTGAATAGGGAGACTGTCTGAGGTATTTATGAATAATCAATAACATTGGATTGTGAATCTGTAATGATGGATTGCTAGTCCATAGTAATAGATCACCAGTCTGTAATAATGGATTCAGTTAATTTTTTTGGGGGGGGGAGGTTTGATGCTAGTGGGCTTTAGTAGTCGTTGGATGCTATGTAGGAGGAAGAACTAATGTGATTGTGATGATTTTTCCACAAAATGAATCTGAAGGCAATTTTCCCAGTAATTTTGTTCCAGTATGAACTACGGTAGAAGCATAACCTGATTTTGATGTACACTGTAGCACGTTCATGCACATGAAGTTTGACATCCTGATGATATTGACTTATTAATGACAATGTCATGGGTGAAGAGTGTCAAAGCTTGCATGATTACTGACACTTTGTTATTGATTACTTACTTACAGGATTTCCATATGTCATGCATGGCATGTAAAGCTCTCTTTCATTTTACCTCCCAAATTTAAAGATCTTGTCATTGGAGTCCATTGTACTCATGGTGTCAACAGAACAGGATATCTCATATGCAGGTACTGTACATGCATGTGTAGGTTTCATGTCACCCGTCAACTTTCAGTTTATCCAAAACGACGAATGTTCACTACAAGGAATTCCTCTGTTAGTTCCTCGAACAAATGACAGATTAAAGAAAGATTGATAAAAGCCCAGGCACAAGAAAGTACTGTGTTTGTTCATTAGAAATCCAAATAAAACACAAAGTTCCTGTGTTGTTGAAATGCCAAGTCAAAAATGACGAGAACTTGGTAACTAACAAGGATCTCCTGTATCTTGACATGTACATGTATGCCTTATTTTGTACTTTTTCACTGCTATACATAAGATTATTGATAGACAGGTGTGTAAAGTGAAGCAAATCGCAATGACTTTGTTATTATTGTAGTTACGTTTGCAATACATGTAGTTCCGTCAGACAAATGGTGGCATTTTGAAGCACACATACTTGTCTTTGGAGAAATGTAATCGGTGCCAAGACATGTTGGTTTGTACATGTACATATAGCTGTATACTTTATTTCCTATCCAGATACCTAATTGAGTGTTTAGGCTGGACAGCAGCCAGGGCACAGGCTGGTGAGTTTTCATGTCTTTATTTTCATGTTACCTTTATTTTGGATGAAGATAATAAAACTTGTCTGTTCTGCAACCATACCAGTCCTTCATACTTTTCATGGTAGAATATAGATTGAATTATCGCTGAAACTGAAAAATACTGTTTCTGTAGTTTGGGGAAAATATAGGATTATTCCAAATTCCTGTCCATGCTGATAGTGTAACCAGGCATATACATCATGTACATGGACATGTATAGTACAGTCATAAATAAATTTCTCAGTGGTAAGACATTGTTATATCTTGTTACTTTTTAGAATTTGGAAAGGCCAGGGGTCATGAAGTTGAGAGGTCAAATTACACTGCTGATCTGCAGGCATTAAGGTGAGAAATTATACTGATAATACAAACATATGGACTGGTCATGAGTTCATTAGTACACGTCTGTGTCCCAGAAGGACTGTGAGTGACCAGATGGGGGTCTTTTTTCCTGAGGCGAAATACTCACAGGCCCGATGGGTCATGGGCTTGCACAAGTCTGTGTGCCTTGTAACACTAAGACTTTGTAACATTCTGAGAAAACAGAGAAAACGAAGGGAACTCTCGCCCTGTGTTCGTAGTGGATAAACCATCGTGCATGCCAAACAATGGCTACATGCAATTTTTGACATGCTCTGTTTTCTCAGAATGATGCTATGTACAACCAGCGTGTTCAGAATTCGCATCTTGGCATGAACAGAAAAAAAACCTTTTTAGCTTGTTATAGTTGAGCTCTGAAGACAAATGACACTGCGTTCGATTTGGATGCTTTCATATTTATTTGAACAGATAAAATCAGAGAAAACATGTTTTCTTTTGAGTTGCTCTTTAAATAATAAACTGAATTACTACATTAATATGAGCTATAAGATGTGATTTTTGGGTAAGACCCACTTCACTCGTCATGACAAATTTGGGATTTTTGTTAGAAAATTTGTTTCATGCAAGTTCCTCAAGATGTGAATTTAGACAATAAGTGTTTTTGTTGACTTGGTAATATACAGAAGCATTTTGATAGAAAATGTACAGTGACAAATTTTGAAAATGTGTTCATCCTCAGTAGTATTTTGATTCTTTGTATTATCAGTAAGTTTGGTTGATCAAATAGTAAATTTCAGTAGGGTGCAAGCCATGCTGCTGTGACTTGCACAAGCCAGAATTTTGCAAACAATTACCAGCTTTTCCTATCAAGGTAAAGCACTGTTAAAGCAAGTGAGAAGATACATCATAATGTGGCATTTTCTTGAGAATTTCCAATGAACTGCAAATAGGCCTACATTTAACCCCTATCAAATCCCATAATCCCACTCTGCTTGCAACTGCAAGGTGTGGTTCAAAATTTATAATATACAGTGAATGACACAGTGGCCGTGCGGTAGCACCAGTCAGATACATGCAGGCACGTGTACAATTTTCATTTGGTTCTTGCTTTTTCCAAATATAGCTAATGTACACTTCAAATTTGTCCAAACAAACCTGAGAATACCACAGGTCCCCATGTTGCAAATGCAATGCTGAATCTGTTCACATTAGCTCCCAGCAGTTGTGCAACTTTCATGTATGCCACAGTCGAACCCAAAGATAAGTCGCTGACTTTATTTGAGTCAATTTCTTGTTAATTTTCTAAATCAAAAACATTCATTACTTGCTCAATGCATTTCATGCCACTGCATAGGCACAGTGCATGGGTCAGGTCAGGCAGACACTGGATAGTCACTGCACTGACATCTCCACAAATTACAGGCTTCTTTGAAAAAGTAGCAACTAAAAAAAAAATTATTGGCAGAAAACTGAGCCTTCACTGCCTTTAGTTACATGAGTGGCCCTATCATGTCAGCTATGTGTACATGTAGGTCATGTACATGTATGTCATTCATTCTACTGTAGCAGATGAAAGCAACTATCACAACTTACAGAATGTATGTATACCGGTATATGTGTGTTGTCATATTGTACATTTTACATAATATGCACACCCATACATTTACATACAGCATGCATGTGTACTTGTACATGTGTACATGTAACTAAGTACATGTACATAAGGGCTCTAGACACTTTAAAAAGATTATGATTTAATATCCTGCTGTTAAAATGTACATGTAAAGTCGTCTGATATGTGACCTGTCACCACAAAGTGAGCTGAGAGTCAGAATTTTGAAAAATTTAGATATTGGTATTTTTAATTCAGCAGAAAAAAGCACTCCAGCATTCCAGCGATGAGCAATACAATACCGCTGCATGCTGATCTGGCTGCGCGCTAATCTGGCTGCATTAGTAAAGACAACACCGCCATCCAGCAACATGCTGGGCCAGTTTCCGGAACATTAAATTACACAACATCGCACAATTGGGGCTCTTTACTGGGTGGCTGCAATACTCACACGTCAATGGAGGTTGCCTGTCAGATTAGACTAGCTATCAGACAGTCATTTGTTTGTGTGTATAGGTCCATGTAAATGAAGATTTGAATTTTGAAGAATTTTGAAAAGGGAAGATCATGAGAAATTGTCCGCCAACACATCCTGCATGCGCACACTTCAGCTGGCATGGTGTGGTTAGTACAATAACTTTCAAGTCAGAATATGGCTGCCTTGCCTACTGAAAACCCACCACTTCCCTACTTCCGTTGTACCGATATTAGTTTGTTTTTACCAATTAACATGTTGACTGCCACGATAATTTCATAGGGGCATTCCCATTTGCCAAGTGTTGTACGCATGCACACATATTTAATAGATACTTTTCAGGTGTCTATTGAACATGAGCATTTTCTGGATGTATGTCCTCATCACTGCCAGCAGCATGCTTTGTTGTGTTCTCTGTGATGCCAGTGTATTCAATTTACAAATTACAACAGCCTTTCATTTCTTTCAAGTATACTCATAGTGGCAAAATCTGATGCACCTGTTAATACAAGTATAGTCGTAGTCGGCAGTCAATGTGTTAAAACTATGCCAATCACAGAATGCTTTTTACCATATGAATGACCACAGTAATGTGTGTGCTTATCACACACTGTTTTGTTAAATACCTACACCTCCAATGGTTATGAAATCACACTGCCATGTCATTTTCAGATTCTATTTACAAGTATCATCATTTACTGACAATTTGTGGTTTGGAAATAGTATTTATGTTACAGAACTTTATTTAATTAACTTGCAAATTAAAAAGCCTTGTGTTCAGTCTACACATAGATGGTTTTGATTTAGTGTACAAAAATTTTACATGCAAGATAGATCTTATTGACATTTGGTATGCAGAGAAATCCATACTGACAGAAAATATGGAATATATGCTGCCATAGTATTTACTAGTTTATTTACAAGACCTTGTTCTGATTTTCACTTTTCAATCATTCAGTCACATTGAATAGTCACAAAATAATTCAAACACATCAACTCCATACAAAGATTGTCAGTTGTGAGTTTCACAAATCATGCAGTAGAAAGGTGTGAGTAAGTGATGAAGTGCAAGTGTCCTCAGTACATTCATGAGTGTATGCAGGTTAAATTCACTGCTGGGGCAACAACGCCCTCTCTTGTTTAAAGGCGAAATAGTGTGAGTAAAAGTGAAGTCCAAGAGTCCTGAGACTCCTCTTGTCCTCACACAAAGTCCACACACTTGTATCCTCTTGTTATGCAAGCAAGCGCTCAAATTAAAATTTGTTATAATCTGCAAATATATGTCACTAAATAATGAGTGCTTTATATATATAATATACATAGCAAACCAGAATGTGATCCGGAGTGAAAAATTGATTCCACATTCTTGTAGTTCATGCCATGTCGACTGTCATTAACAGAATTTGTAGATCACTGGATTTATTTTAGGATGGGGGAGGGGTTTGCGTGTGATGTGCATACAATAGCCTGTGGGTGTTCATAAGGAACTGTTGCATTTAAAGCTACAATCCCAGCGTTTCTATTATCGACATGGATTATTGAAGCACTCGTTCTATTGTCAATGTGTTCAGTAGCTCTTTGTTTCATGGAGCTTCTAGAAAAGCATTCCCTGTATGCGAACACGCTTATAATGCACACACTGTGCCGTGAACAATGAACAATGAACACCCCTAAAATCCATGCGTAAGAATTTATTTTGTAAAACTCCCACCTTCAACATTGAGTTTTTCCTAAAATGCATGTGTAAAGGCCTTACCTTCAAACTGTAGTCATTTCAAGGAAATCTTCCATTCGACATAACAGTTTTTCCACACTGTTATAAAAAAAACGAGTGATGCGTCCCATTCAAATTTTGTCCATAGAGTTACACGTATAGTAAAAAAAATCTTTACTTTCAATCAAAATTTACAGCGTGTGGAGATGCCACACGCACAAGCAACCAACGCCACAGAAACCTGGGTAACAAAATCGGTACAGCACGGTCAAAAGGAATAGCAGGTTAACAAAATATTTATCCCAAAGAAAATTTTCATCCCAAAAAATCATCTTTTTTGATACAAATGAAAGTCCCATATCAGAAGTATACTATACTACAGGCTTTAACACTTGGAGTCACACTTGACATGATCAATAAAAATATTGCCAGCTGCTCGTGGTTTCAAAGACTCATCGTGGTCCATCTTCACAAAGCTAAGAAACAAAGCATGTGCATGCCATCACTGAATACTGAATGAGAAGAGTTTGAACCTGGGGGCGATTGTCATACCCCCCGTTTAAGCCATTATTTCATGTTGCTGATCTAAAGCATTTGATTGTTTTGTATAATATGACAATTAGGGTTTTGGAGAAAATGGACGTCCAAAAACCAAAATACATTTACTTTATTGACAAAAATGAAGACTACGGAAATAGTAGGCATTCTCTGTCCAAGGTGAATCAGAATGAAAGCTGAAACGTGAGGTCAAATCTTGTGTTTATGCCGTGCTGCAGACATCAACAGGAGATACTGTGCATGTACTAGGCATGCATACAACTATGCCTAGTATGCCGTGTAACACTAAGTGTTTTAATGAGCTAATACAGAATAAAATTTTGAATTAAGCCTTGTAGGTGTTTAGAGTTATTATTTATTTTGTCATTTTTTTCTCGTGTTGAATATAGAGTGGTACATTGGTTGAAAAATAATGTGGGTTCTGCATGTGTAAATGTATACAGGTATGTTAACATGTACTTGTGTCTGACAACAGATATGGTACATTACACAGATTGTGTGTAACACATGTGCATTCATACCTCTTATCAATACCAGGAATTGAAAGGCTTACAGAATAGGTTTTGCTGTTTAAAATGTGAAAAACCTGGAAAAGCTTCAAATCAGTTAAACAAATCTAAATTGAAACATTTTTGTTAAAGCCTTTTTTTAGTTCATTCCATGTAGACAAAGGTATTTTGCGAAGCATCCACAACTCAAAGTCACCAATTTAAGTCATAATTTAAATCTGTTTTTTTTAAATCACTAATGCAAATAAAATTTTATTTGCCTTTGGGGGAAAAAGCTTTAACTTAATGCACTTTTATTTACAACATTTATCAAAAAGCAACTGATGATTGATCTCAAGTGGCCTTTTGATCTACATATTTGATATGTGTGTTTCGTTCCTGCAGAAATCAAAGACCTCCTTTGTTATTTTTTTACAAATTTCTAAGTAGTTTTTATCACAGAAACTGGACAAATCCAGAAATTTTATGAATCTTAGCAGTTTTATCCTTTTTCTCAAATAAATGACCCACTAGTAAAGTATTATTTGCATCTTTTGATCAGTGTCAGAGGTCTGTTTCATTAGTGTATAACGTGTACAGAATAGAAGAACATGACCTTGTGGGGTCCTATATTTAGGTAAAAATTGTTGAGCAAGTGGAGGTAAAATAGGACAAAGTAAAATTCTGTGAAGTCTTTGTCACTGTTTTTTAATAAAAGTTTATAACATAACTTCCAACATTACATTATCCATTTTTCTTCTAACTGTATTCTTTTTAAGGGGAAAGAAGTAAAACTTTGGGCGTTCTAGTTTAAATTTTCACAGAATGTGTTTTAATTATAATGAGCACAAGTTAGTACAAAAGGCAGATACCTACAAAAGAAAAAAACCAATTTCATTTGTGAATATGCTCCTAATGGTCCATGTATACTTGATAGTGTGTAGGAAATAACAACAATGCAGAACTGCTTCCCCCAAACCGACCAGTGTGCAGCAAAATTACACGGTAATTTTGCCAGGTTAATTTGATTTGACTTGATAGATTGTAATTGCAATCATGAAATTTCTTTACATGTTTCAGTGAGGCAAGGCAGGCATCAGACAGTCCTTCAGGGCGTGGAATGCAGATTGATGAGTTATCCACACAGTCACCTGCAGCTAGTGAAAGAGGTGTATGTAGTTCATCACATTATGCCATAAATCTCAAGGGACATGATTACAGAAGTCCCCAAGGAATTAACTGGGGAAATAAGATCAGTAAATGCAAGGACCAACATCGTCATCAACCTTATAGTATTAGTGACTCAAAGACTCATCAATACCAAAAGGGACATCATCCCAAAAGTAATGTAGAAGGAAGAAAAGATAACCCAAGAGTTAGAAATGGTCCTCAGTGTGAAGGATGTGACATCAGTGTTGCCTCTCACCATTTGCTGGTCGAGCAAGTCTGTGAAATGTCAGTAAAAAACAGAAACTTGGAGACAAGGAATACTGCATACCACAATCAATGGCATTACAACTCAACAAGCAACATGGACCAGAAATCTAGTAATAAAGGTTTTAAGAACAATCAACCAACAAAGACAAAAAAATATAATAGTACGTCTCCTGCATACTGGGAAAGCAGACGAGGTCAGTCAGCATGGTCAAGTTTTCATGGATATCAAAGCTTTCGGTTGTATAACCATCATAGTCACACATTAATGTCAAAAAAGAGAAAGAACCGTAGTAAAAGAATGACTTGTAAGTAGTTCAAATACATGTATATTTGTGTATTAATTTATCATGCAACACAATGAAACATGCCCTGAAGACATCGTTGGCTACATACAGTATTTGTGTGAAGTATCATCAACCATTGAATTGAGTCATGCATTTGGATCATTTCTTGTGTCTTTGGATGTGAAAAACATTTTAATGGGGTATGTCCCTCCAACCCTGTTGATTTTGTTGTATAGGACACTCAGTCAGAAATTAATCCCATTTGTAGCCAACAGATAATATTTTCCCCATGACTACTGCTATTTCTGGCAATTAATCACACCGGTCATTTGTGTAGATATACAGCATACCTGTGATGACCGTTCCAGGAATGAGGGGTAATGTTTAGAAAAAAGGTATGCCAACTAAACTGGACAGCAAAAGAAACTTGCCACTTCTGTCAAAGGCCACACATAAAAATTCACTCCATAGAAATAAAACAATTTTTGTAGACAGGTATGCTGTTCATTTAGCATGCATAACAGGAAGTATTTATTCAGCAGCAAGGTAAATTGTGATAATTGCACAGCCCTCATGCCCCATATATTTACATGCATATCAAATGTCAGTAATTTGTGTACTTGGATGGCTGAGATGTGACAGGGGCTGAGTCCCCACTCTTGCTTGGACAAGGTTTTTAAAAATCCTGCATGTTATCAACTTTTTGGGCTCTTCTTAAGAGGCTTGAACCTCTTATGTCAGTGGAAACGTTTGCCTGGTCAAGTTCACAAAAATAGTTTTCACATTCATCTTCAAGTGATAGAATCAATAAATAGGCTGTTTTAGTTTTTATCAGATTTCGGACATTTAAATTTGTTTACATGCATGATACTTTTTTTAACCATTCAAACTTTAAGTTTCGGCAATCAATTTGTGATCAGTTTACTTCACCAGTTGGTTTGTTGGGTCATTATATGTATGCATTTGGTATGCATTTTCCTTTTAATGTAATTCTGCATATTAAATTATAAGGAAGAATGTGAAATTTCACTTTATTTAATCTTTTCTGAGTTGCTTATTTGTTATTAAACTTCATACTTCTCATAATCTCTTCAAGGTCAAACATTAGGTGTGGGGCAGATGATCTCCAGACAATTGTTGGGAGAGGATTAAGATGTGCTGTCTGATCGGTCAGTGTACTTTTGTTAGGAAGTTAATCTGATCTGTACAAGAATCAGATTTCTTAAGGTGATGCAGGTCCTTTAGGCAAAACAAAAAACTAGTTGTGTTTCCTATTACACTGAAAATAAATTTTATAATTCAAAAAATTAGGGTCAGATGATGGTCTTTTTTGGGGGGGGCATATATTTGTAACAGGTACTAAGCCGGTGTCAGAATAATACATGTACACGTCAATGTTACATATCAGCACTGTGATTGAGTAGTATAAAGCCGCTGGTTGTTGAAATTCAAATACACAAGAGTCGTCCATCTCATGCAAACAAAAATTAAACCAATACAATGAACAGGACAATGTACACAAAATTAGGCTCGGGGTAGGGCACCATAAGTGTTCACATTTTATTGATTTGTCGAAAAAGATACAGGTTCCACATGATTTTCAAGGTTGGGTCAGGTAACCAGAAACACAGCAATTTTTTGTTTGGCCTTACACAGATTTTACGTAGATTCATATTAAGCAATGCATTACTATGAGCGAGTGTATGAGGCTTCAATCAGTACAGTATCAATGGGACAAATGAATGATGAATGATACAGGGCCTCCTAGAAAAATTTGACCGGTCTATTGTCTGGAACTGTACTCTTATTAGAGTTTATATTGGTAATTCTTCATATACAATGTCAGTAGTTACTGCAGAAAACTGGTTGGCCTAATCCTTGAAGGCTGCAGATGCAGTACAAAAAATATTTATTTTAACCTCACTGTCAATTTCAAGGACCACATTAGCTTGACCTTTAGCCTCATTACTGTGCCCAAGTAATTTAAACTGATGCCATATCTTACAACTGAAATAATTGACTTTAGCAGACCTTACATCCCTCTCAATCATATTTCTGATTTGACAGCATGCTTTATAAAGAAAAGTTTTACCACCAACTTACCCCAATTTGCACAAGAGTCGGTCTGTAAGCCTGAAGGTTTAAGAGTCTCACAATTAAAATGTGGCTCCGTTGTGGCCTAATCTGATCTCCTTTGTTGGAGTACATGCTGCATTGTCCAGAAGTTGCAAAAGGATATACATAAAGTGAACTGTAAAGGCTACTTTTTCAAACGATCAAATTGACCAAGCTTTTTCCAGACAAGTGAGGGTGCGCGCAGTTAGTGTGATGTAAATCTAGGAAGACAATGTTCAGTTTGCATGTGTTCATTTAAAATTTTGAACCCCAAATTCGCTCTTTCAAAACATTTCTGAGAAAAAGTTGCTTGCTGGCTTACTACCGTTTACTTAGACAACAATAAGTTCCTAAAGAAAGTAGACATCTTCGATAGCAATGTATAAAAAATCTAGCAATTTTGTTCACAAATCAATATTGATATTCAGTGCCTCGGAATAGGTCACAGTTTTGCTAATGAATTTGTAAAGTCATGTAAGTATCAAAACCAAAAAGGCCCCTAATGTAAAGATAAATAAGCAAAATAAAAATGTTAATTGAAACACAAATGTGCAGTTTCAAGGCTTTTGGTAAAATCTCTCTATAAGGCCTATACATGGACCCATTGAGTTTTCCCAAGCCCGATCAACACTATTGCGGTACACAGACGGTGAAGGATTCAAATCTTCACTACAGCTCTTGAGAGATCTAATCTTGGTAACATTATGACCAAAACCATTTGGACTTTTCACTAGCTTAGGTATACAGCAGTGTAAAATGTTCACTTAGACCAAGTTTACATTTCCTGATTAACGGGTCCTATCTTCATCGTTGCAGTAAAAAAAAAGGAAGGTTGAACAGCAGCCTGTGATACAGGGATCCTTGATCAGTTGCTCACAATTATGAGTCCAAAATACTTCAAGTATAATCTTTATACAAACTACAGTTCTGCCGAAAATGATTGATATCGGTATCAAATCTCCCCAAAAATTGTTTCACAATGCTGGACAGCGTTTTCGAACAATTCAAGAAAATAACTTTCTTTAAGAGGTCGAAAACATTGTTATAGGTTTAGTCTTGAACAGTAGTTGGCCACACCAAAGTTTCACCATTGTCCTTCATGATATAATGTCTAAGGTTGAAGACAAATATATTCCTTACGTACACTCAAGCCCCTCCACCATGTCGTGAACTGTCATGACACACTACTAAAGTTCATCAATCGTGATTTAAACACCTAGGAGGGAATCATTCAACCGTTTTAAAAACTCCATTAATGGCTGCTTTCAACTTTTGGGCGATAATCTTTAATTCCGAAAAAATGGGATAAGTGATCTTGCATTTAAATGGATTCATCTCTGACAAAAACACTGGAAATGGTTATCGTCGACTCAAGATATCAGAAGATTGATTGGTAAAATATCTGACAACCTGCTTTTCTGCAGTAGATCTGAGCCTTTTAAGCTGTCGTGTACATTTCTTTATACAAAACTTGATCCCACATCTAAATGCTTTATGCTCATGGCCCTTGAAAACAGCAATAGGCCTATCTATAGGTGGGTCATAACCAGGGATTTAACGTATGAAAATCGTAGGCTACTTTTTGTTGACGAAAATCCTCTCGCTATGTAGCTTGGAAACGGCCACCATGTTTGGACCAAATACATGTACGTTCTTTTGGGGGGATTTTTAGTTTGCAATATTTTCGTGTTAGGAAATTCTTTTCCTTAAATAAAATTCAACTTCAAACTAATTCAACGTATTTTCTATTGTATAACTTACACCTGATTTCCTTTAATTTCAGTTTACAATGCGTTTTTGTGAATTTCTGCCAGTGTTTTTTTCTGCTGCTTCACCCGTTCATTCATGAAGACTACCACAACATCTGAGCACATTACACATATGAAAATTGGCGCCCGTTGACGGCTGTGGTGTGTGAAAGATATGAATTGTTAAACAATAGTCGGTAGACCACCGCGAAAAAAAAAATGAAAATTTCTGTTTCTCGAAAACAACAGCATTCCGGGCGGAAATAATTTACAGATTGACCGATTTACTTTCTTTCAAGTAAGATATTTGAGGATTATACGGCAGTCCCATTTTTGTGATGTTAGCAAAGGTGTCAATTACCCTTATTTAAACTCTTTTGAGTGTAATGAATACAATCATGTATATAGCGTCGTCTAGCGGCGCTATATCTCGCCGCTGTAAGACTTGCGTCTGTTCCGCGTAATGGCGTGGACTGGTCCCTGACTTGGACTTGATCGCGCGCGCCTGCGACGTCGACACAGTACATGCAGTAGGCCCATCCGGTTTGTAAGTGTGACGACACTTCAGTTTCAACCACGCCCACTGCACATCCAGATGTACGCTACCACCGCAGTACGTTAGTTCGCGGTAAATTGCCGTTATTTTTTCTTTGATTTTTCGAGTCGAGTCATCCTGAAAGACTCTTCCACAAAAATTTGCTGCCTGAAAAGTCTGAATTTAACATATCTATATGTATTTTGTGTCTTGACTCCTTACTTTCAATCGTCTGATCGTGTCAAGAATTGAAGTTGACACATACAGCCTCGTTTCCAAACGCGGAAGTGCGCAGATCGACGCTAAAAGCGTCGTATTGGGATCCCTCTATAGGGCCTCTGGCTTGCTGCGGTTTAGCGTGCGCGATTAGTCCTGTCAATTTTGGATGCTGAATCAGGCCACACAGCAGGGAGGCGAACGAAAAACAAGTATCTGTTCTTACTAAGCCTCTGTTGATTACCGTGTGGTAATTCATTTTTCAATGATTATCATCGATAAATCATTTACGGCAATTTATTTCAAATCAGTGGTCATTGTTTAAACTTTAAATAACTGATCCATTTACGGTGAAGTTATTTTCGGTAACAAAGAAGCCGCAACATAATATTATGTTATCAGCTCTGCTCAATTTGTGTATTGAGTGGGCATCGTTTCCTCAATTACATACACCAGGCCGGCAGGATTCTGCCGCATTTGTTACCCGCTACGTCTGTAAGACGTCTGGAGACTACGTACGAGACGGGAGCCAGTCTAGTGGTGGCCAACCACAATATAAATGACCATATACCCAGCAAGAAATGAGACCGAGGGGTACCCCCC